TTTCCTCCTTTGACGTGCCTCATTCTCACTCAGTAAGCTTCAGTATGTTAGATGGTGACTATAAAAGGGTCACCTGGCTGATTATGGGGTACACTTCCAACCTTCAGTCGAAGTACTGTTACATGACCTTTTCTCAGTTGAATACTCTGGAATTAAGGATTGGAGTTTTATGGCAAGAGGCCCACACTTCTTGATAGAGCTCTTTTCAGTTAAGACCAGATAGATATATTCAGTCAAGATAGTGTTATTGCTGTGCCATAGGGTTGATGAAATGGTGTCGGTGACAATAAGAGAGAGGCCTAGAAAGAAAATCTTTCAAGAACACTTTTAACATGAGCCTTTCTTAATTAACTATATCCAGAGCAATATCCAGATTACTTTTGTTTAAGATATAAATTCAAAATTGAAGATATTGGACATATTTTCGAGTGTATCGAAGCAGAAACCATGCAATAGTATAAATAGCATCTTATATCCAGACCAAAACAATAAACCAATTAACCACATCTGACAAGTAGTCAAGCTTTTATGTGGTCTTATTAACAACATATACTCCATAGTATTATTATCTGGACTATATATGTTGCTGAAATTCATAGATCCTTGATGATTATTTGACACAATTAATTGAGTCACTATTAAAACATATAAATAATTGAGTCATGACGCAATTATTTTTGAGAACTTTGGGAATTGAGTCAACAGCAAAATAATTTATGCCACATATATAATCTGGACTAAAGCAGTTTTGGAAGTCTTGCGCTACTCTATAATCCAATTTAAAAACCAAGGTGCAATATAACAAACACATCTTCTATACTGAAATCAAATGGGATCCAAATTTTTGCTAGCCAAAGAATAATATCAATAATAATATCAATAATATTAATTCAAAAAATCCAAGTCTTAAAATATCAAATTCCAGATCTAACTCAAATTCATATAGTGAATTAATAGTGAATTTTTCAGTTTTAGTCATGAATAAATTTATTAATGGCAATTATAACTTTACTTTATGTTAATAAATTTAATAACTAACCTTAATAATCTTATTAATAATCCTAAGTAGATATTCATAGTTGCTTAGCATTATTTCAGATGTGTAATAGTTTTAATATTTATTTTTCTTATGGCTAAAATAATTTATGTAGGTAAGTTAATATTAGACTTATTAACTTAGTTAATTATATAAAAGATTTTGTCACTTTTTTTATATATAAATTTTAAACAATTTTACAATTAATAAAATAATAATGTTTACTTACTTTAAAAAAAAAAAAACAAAAATATTATAAAAACTTTCTTAAATTAGTAATTATAATATCTTATATTATAGTTGTGAATTTTAAAAAAAATTTTAAAAGTGATAATGGTCCAATTGAAATTGCAAGAAATTTTTATAAAAATTATAAATTTTTTCATTGAATTTGATAATAATAATAATAATATAATTCAAATACAATGTTTTAATTTTTTTTCAAAAATTTTAAATCATAATTTATTATTGTTATTAATTGTATCAAAAAACTTCTTGTCAAATCTTTTATAATACGATTTGATAAATTTAATTTTTGATTTGATTTTGAATCATATTTTTACTTAGCAGAATTAATGTATTTTATTTTTAATTATTTTAATAAATATTTTAATATGTTATCAAAATAGTTTAAAAAAGATGAATCAATATAATATATTTATATTATTGAAAAATTAAATAATTATTTTAAAAACAAAACACAAAATTATAATAATTACATCTTTAAAATTTATTTATATACAAAATCAAAAAATTTTATTAACAAATTAATGACAAATAATTTTTGTTTATATTTATTATTTATAAAATTTAATAATAAATTATATATTTTTATACTTGATATATTTAATATTATTAATTACAAGAAAATATTATTTAAAATTAAAAAAATATAAAATATCAAAAAAATAAAATATATTATATTCAAAGAAACAACAAATGATATTTCAATAGTAATAAAAGATAAAAATAAACAAAGATTATTAATTAAAATAAAAAACATATCCAATTATTTTATTCCAATGGAATTTTAAATTATTTTTTAAATATATACTTGAAATTAATTTTTAATTTTTTTAAAAAAACATATTTTATATAATATCTTTTTTAATATTTATCAAAATCTAATAAAATATATATATCATTAGAAATTTTACAATTTAAAGAATCCAATAGTAATAAAATCACAAAATTTTAATTATTAATTATTAAAATATTATCATTTAAATTTTAAAATTTTTTAAAATTTTTATAGATTAATATTTTCTATTAATATTAATTTAAATTGAATAAAAACATTACAATTTAATAGCCAATATATTAAATTATTAATATTTAAAAAAATTTTTAATTCTAATTATTAGTTATTAAGATAATTGGATTTAAAATTTAAAATTAATCTCAAGCATATACTATATATAATAATATAAGGTAAAATCCAAAGTATAGATAATAGCTTTATATGAATTTGGATTTAGCTTTTTTTCTTTTATACAAGTTTTATCTTATATTATTATATATATTATTATTTTATATTATTTTTAATTAAAATATTTATTTATTATTAAAAAAATAATAAAATAGTTATTAAAAAAATCAAAAAAAAAAATAAAATTATTATTATATTAATTTATTTTAAGATTTATATTATAAGTTATATATTATATAATTTTGAATTTTAAATTATAAAGTAATAAATTTATATCTTGAAAATTTTTGGTTCACCTTTAAAAATAATTATCCAAATATTCTAATTTATAAAAATTTATTAATAATTCAAAATTATATATTTATAATATTAAAAATAAATACTATATACTATACTACAGAATACAATTTAAATGTAAATTATTAATTTTTATTGCTATTTTTATAATAATAAATATTTATAATATCAGATATTAAAACCGTTGTTAAGTCCGGAGTTTATAAATTTACTATTTCCGATTTGAGCATCAATTGGAGCCAATGATTTCGTCGACTCAATTCTTGAGTGGAGGGAACGCGAACATTTTTACATATTGCGTAGAAATACAGTAGATAGTCCTACGGCTTACGCCCACGAACCAAATAAAAAATATTAAACTACAGTCATTATTATTAAAAAAGGAAAATTTCAAATATCGCATAGTCAAAAAAATTAGCCGAAAATGACGGAAAATGTTTTCCGTAAGTAGTTTCTCCTTATCTTTTCATCTTTTGGGGCAGTGTTGTCATTCATCATACACAGTCAGTCGTAATGTCAGAATCGCTTATTGTTGTTATCGATAACACTTGAGTAAATTAGGTAAGATAAAAGGTGTTGAAGTGAGATTGGTTCATATTTGGTAATACAAGAATGCAAATTATTAAAAAAATGCGCCCTTGTAACAATAAATGACGCAAGATTACTCCCAACCATGTTTTGAATGGTTATAAAAGACCTGGTTTCAAGAAAAAAATGACTATCTATTAAAAAAAAAAAAAAAAAAAAAAAATAGTAATAAATTTTTTTTTTTTTCCTATTTACACGAAAAATAATGACAACGAACAAAGCCAAATTAAAGTCATATATCTCCACTCCTTCCGATACTTATTTTACTTTATATTGAAAAATACATGTTTATATAACAAACTTTTCATTTACCGGACTCTCGTCAAAATTTAAGAACGGGATCCATATCTTAAATAAAGATTGTTGATTGGAGTGGATCCCTTATAACGTTCTTATTTTAATGAATTTCTCAAGATTACGAAAACGTATTCCGGTCGTACTTCCTCATTCGGTCTTGGTGTATGAAAAAAACAACAAGAACAACCTATTGTATTTTGAGGTTGTATGTTTTATCGGATTTTTGATTCAAAAAATTTATTCTTGAAAGTGATAATTGCGCGGACGTTTATTACGAAGGCGTTGTGGTTGGTGTGATTTTATTCAAGATAGTATATATAAGTGCAATTTTTTTTAGCGTATTAAATTAAAAATTGTTTATAATAATAGCTAACTGCTTTGAATAATCAAAGTATAGCAAATAGCAATCATAATGTAATCGAATATTAAATAGTTTAATATTCGGATTTTATCATTAATATGAAATATTAATGATTACTTACAAAAAATCAAAATCAAAATCAAAAAATAAAAAAACTCAAAATAAATGTTACAATAAAAATAAATCGAATCGTATTCATTGTACAAATAAATATTTGAATGTGTCTAATGATTAAATAAAAACTTGAATTATTAATCTTTTTTTTTTTTCGCAACGATACAACGATATTAGATTTTTTTTTCTTTCTCAAGTACGAATATAAAACTCGGTTTTTAATAAAAAAGAATATTTTTTCAAAATAAATTCTCGATCTAACTTTCGATATAAGAATTTATCCAAGTGGTAAAATTTCACGGTAATATTAAATTTAATAAAATCAATAGAAAAAAATTTTTTTTTAAATTTTTTCGTCTAATGATAATTCAAAAAATTTATAATCAACAGATTATGACAAAGTTTTTTTTAATTAATAAAATAAAATAAAAATAAAATAAAAATTATTGAAATAATGAATTATAACCATTTACATTTTAAAATAAATAATTTAAACCAATTTAAAAAAAACAATATTCAATGTATATATGGTGTATATAATGCACAATCTAAAAGAAATAAATTATTTTAATGAAATTTAAAATACCAATATTTAATCCAAAGCATGTGAAGTTTGATTTTTTTAAAAAAAATTATATATATATATTTTTTTAAACATGATAATGTGTTGGATTTATATAGAGATTTAAATACTTTGATATTGTTATGCGTAAAATACCTGAACTTGTTGCCAAACTCACAGTTTTAATATTTTATGGAAAAATAATACTGCATTAAATTTATTATGATGATGTGTACAAGGCTTAGTGAATGATGATTTTGCATTTAGAAAATAAAATGTGAAAGCTAGAAGTGCAAAGATTGAAAGAGGAACCAAATTACAGTTTTTTCTGAACAACCTGAAAAACTTCATATTCTCCAATCCGAAATTTTCCATTAGCCTTTCTAATCCGTTTTTTATATTTTAACTTATTACACTGCCCTTCCTTCGCGTTATTCAATATGCCCATAATTCCTAAATCCGGTCTGATATGATTTCCAAAGTGCGGACCATACCGACTAGACTGACATATAGCATAATCCGTATCCACAATTCTACTGAGAATTGATTTGTTCACATCTTCATAATCTAACGCAAATATAAAACTCTCTCGTGTTGACGCATTATCGCCAGAACTATCTGATTTTGCTCTCCAGTCCAATGGATTGTACCCTCCCAGTATTTCGTTCGTATCTTTCACGTGTATCAAAGTGATTGTAGGACCCTTTAAATCGCAATGTTTATGAAACGCTTTTGCCGTGAACCCATCATGTGATCCACGTATCAGTAGGTTATATTCATATTCATTGTTCAAATTGTTACCATCGCTTGTGATATTCATAGAAGTATCAAGTGCAGCTATCTTGGTGTCGTTGATCCACTCCGAGATTAAAGCTGCATGCTGTCTAGTGATAAGATTGGAATCAATGTCAGGATAATGAGAATGTCTTTTCTGCGCGATCGTATGATATTCCAAAAGTTGGTTATAAAAAGCGCCATCAAAAATTAGTCTAAATGGATAAATTTCTTTGAAAAATTCATCGGGCATCATACGATTAAATTTAATGTGATGAACATATGGATTCACCAGACTGCCAAAGGTTGAAAAGTCCACGGAAGTCCATTCTGAGACATCGAGAGAAAGTAAAGGCATCTGCGCACGGCCCCATTCAACAAGTTTATTCCAAAATTCGATCTCCTTCAAGGTAATTGGATGTTTTTCAAATAATGACAAAAGCAATTCGGATGGGGTGGTGATGAAGTCTTGAGCATGAAAGTACATCTCTGGAGTTTGCTCCAGAATTTTTTTGCAAAATGAATCCAACTTTCCAAAAGAGGAATGCCTTTGGGCTATTGTCGTGGCAGAAACAATATGCTGCTTTACCGAAACTTGGGACATCACCAGAAAGTCTTGGATGTGGTCACATAGTTCAACGAAAGATAATTCGTCTGCAGCTATTAAAAGTTCAAAGATATCTGGTATGCTAAAGCCTCCAAGATTAATCGTCCCACTATATATGTACCTTTTTAATTTCAAAAAGAAACAACAAAAAAGAAAGTTAATAATGGTCACCAAACAATAATACAAACGTTATGATCGAATTATTATGTTGATGAATCACTCGATCCTCTTAACCGGTCAGTCACATATGCGAAAAGTTATAAAGATACGTACGCCTGTTTTTTTTTTTGTTGAAAATTTATGTTTCTCCCACTTTATGATTGATACACATCACCTTTAGTGTTATTGAACGTTAATAAATTTACTTACTTGAAGATAACTTCAAAGATTTCAGGCTCGATATTTGGTTTAGTAAATTTCATCATTCCTCCATGAGAAAATTTTGCCCAATCTCTTGACAAAGCAGTACGAAAATAAGATGATCGAACCTTAAGCACAAGTGAATGACCTCGAAATTCTTTTACGTTAGGTTCCTTCCCGACGGTAATTATGACATCCGAAAAGTCACCCGATTCAAGGATTGCTTTATAATCGCGGGATAACAGATCCCAAAGATTCTTTTGCATGGGCTTATCCAACATTTCATTCTTCATGCTTATATACACTGTATATCGTAGACGGTTGTTGGAAAGAAAAAATTGTTGTGCGTATGTCAGGATGATCACCTAGAGATAAATGTCTATTTTTGGAGAAATTCTACGTGTTTGACATTTGGTGGTGCGATTATAAATCAACTGCGCCATTGTATCAGGCGAGATTAGAGGTATTCCAACGTCTAGAGAGTTCGAAGTACGCGCTCTCCAATATTCGCCTACCTAACATAGGATTCAGTTAAGACCAACCGGTTTATATAAAGGTTCGTTTTAGATTATGCATACAGTATTTATTTATATTTTACGAGGTATTGTACTGTGTATTATTGTAGAATGCTTTACAATTGTTATGCTGAAAAAAAGTCTCAGAAATTCAATTCAATTCTTATCTGTAAGCTTTTTTAATAACCCGAACTTCCTCATATGTTCATGATCCGATAATTAGAATCTGAGTTCGTATTACTTTACCCACGACTTGTCGATTTCTCTCTTATTGGAATAGACCCCAAAATTTGATTGCACCGTGAAAGAATAACCAGAATGATTATCCGTCAAGATTTTCGATTATTTCGATTTCAGCATTGAATGCCACGCCCACATATCGAGAACTACAGTAGATTACATTTGCTAGGACGGCGAGACTAGCGATGCTAAAAAAATAATAAACAAAAGGTTAAACTAACATCCGAACACGTTACGGTTACTGGGTTCGCCTAATTCGGTAAGAGAAAATCGATAATGCGTCATTTGATCATGAGATCTTAATATAATTCGTTTAAAAAGGTGTTATTAGCTCTCCTAAAGTTTCTCTTTGAGTAAATTTTATTTTTTCACTTCCATCAATTAAAAAAGGTTGAAATGGTTGAACATTGCGAAAATTACTGCCATCTTTACGAATGTGCTAATCTACAAAACTCAATCAAAACGCAATACGAAAAGATTAATAAAAAGCGCGATGAGTTGATCGAGTTGCAGAGAGAGTGGATTCACGATTTCCTGAATTACAAAAATTCACATGAAGGCAAGCTTGGTAAATAATGCAATTATTAAGATCTACCTTTCGGAATTAAAAGATTACGAAAACGAGTATCGTTAATTTTTCTCCAGTGGATAACAAGCAAACTAATCTCGGTGTTCGTGAGACTGTTTCTCGGAATTCGGGTATTCTAAGTGATGATCAAACCCGTGTCGAATGATATCCCGTGATGACTAATACCTTTTTTTATAGGGGAAACTGAAGATCATTGGTGTTTTATTGGTGGCATAACGAGGAATGCCGAATACAGGGACTTGAAATATTTTCTAGAGCATTATATCGGAAAGATCAAACGTGTAGACGTTGTCAAGAGCAAGGTGTGGAAAATTCATGGACATTATTAACATCATTTATTATTATAATGTAAGATTAACGACGGTATCATTTATTTTGATGTCCCCAGGCATGCGCGTTTGTAGAGTTTTACGAAGAATCCTCATATCAATTGGCGATCAATATGCGTGCCATCAAATATAGGAACAAATTTCTGAGAATCGAAAAACGTATGAACCCAAACAATAAAGGGAAAGAACGACAACATTGACGACTGATAATCTAACTTTTTTTATTTATTTCAACACCTAATATTTGTTAAGTCATGTGCGATAAACGCGAAAAATGGATCACTGTATAGAAAGAAAAATGTTATCCGCCATGCTGTTGTTCGTTAACTATTTATTTGTCTTGAAAAAAGTTCGTGAAGATCCGTCTTCGCAGACAGGCCGTACCAAATAGTCAAACACTGATTGCATGTCGTCAAAACTAGGGGAAAAGAATAAGGGGTTCTCCACTAAAGAAATACGACGTACATTGTTTGAATGAGGGATTTTTGCCCATGCATGGATCATCAACGTACATACTGACAACCTATGAAAATAATGTCGCAAATTAAATATAGTAATAAATAGCATACATGATATCCTCGAGCGTGATGCCTACGTTAATTGACGTGATTTTTTTTTTTCTGTATCCCTTTGATACGTGTTATATAAATACGAAGTTTAAGGATCGATTCGCGATAAATGATGGGTTAAACTCTTATGATAAAATATATAAATAGATTCCTTTAAATGGAGATAAATACGGAACAACCGTAAGAAATTTTCTAAACCATGTATAAGAACCGAAAATGCACCCTCAATACATTAGAGTTTCAGCAAAACGCGACAGGAGCTACTATAAAAATCGCTTTTGGTCTTGACTGCTCGGTTTTATTTGTTAATGAGGATCGAAAAGACAATGAATAAATAATATTGTTGAGAACAACATCCTTATTTAACCCTTAAATTCCGACGGTCTAACATTACCTTCATTTCAATTATCCATAATAATGATATTTTGACTTTCCCTTTTCTCAAGATAGACAAAACACATATATCATTGCACTTCATGAAAACGACAAATCAAAGCTGGACTTTGTTTAAGTAATTAATCACCGAAATGTCAACCATCGATGCTCTTGTCAGCGATGAAAAAAACAACAAACTTCAAAAAGTTCTCGTAACGGATCCTCTATCACAAGTTCACTATGTTAAAGTCTCGTTTAACATTCTCGGTCTTACTTGCGCAGCTTGCGTGCGATCGGCAGAACTGGGCTTAGAGAAACTCGAGGGCGTCAAGCCCGGTTCCATTAATGTGAATTTGTTGATGGGAAAATGCTCTTTGCAAATTGAAAAATCTTTGCTAGACGTTGAATTAATCAAGACTGCCATACACAACACCGGATTTGATCTCGACGACATAATAACCGAAGATTCAAACAAAAGGTTGTCACGTGACGATGTCGATGATATTAAAGGTCTCAAAGCGGACTTCAGTTCGGTCACGACAAATCTCATCATTGGAGGAATGACGTGTGCATCATGCGTGGCCTCGGTACAACGTATAGTGGAATCTCTACCAGGAGTAGAAAGTTGCAACATAAATCTGTTAACCGGTGACGGTGCAATTACGCATCTTCCCCAATTGACTGGTCCGCGCACCCTCATAGAATCTATCGAGAAAGCTGGTTTTACCGCTAGGCTGAATCCTAATTCCTCATCAAATAATGGCGATCTCTCCAACGCTTCAAAATCTGTCCGTGAACGTGCTGAGAAACAAGAACGACTTCTTCGCAGACGGTTCCTAATCAGTTTAATATTTGCCATACCGACTTTCATTATTGGAATGTTTTTCATGATGTTCCTCAAGGACACGAAATTTACTCAAAATTATCTTGGCCTTCAAGTGTTTCCAGGTCTTGGGCTCAGCACCTTGATTTTGTTCATGTTAGCGACACCAGTGCAATTTTATCTGGGTTACCCTTTTTATGTTAAATCTTACCGATCCATTAGGTACGCCCGAACTGCGAATATGGACACTTTGGTCGCCTTGGGTACATCGGTTGCCTACTTTGGCTCCATCATTAGTGTGCTCATCGGAATTATTCATGCAAATCGCAATGACATGGAACAAAATCAGGAATCAATGGATGGACAAGAATTTTTTGAAACTAGTGTGTTCCTAATCACATTTATCTGGTTGGGCAAATGGATGGAGGCAAAGGCAAAGGGGAAAACCTTTGAAACTATTACAAAGTTAATGGAGCTGCAGCCAGAGAAGGCTATTTTGGTAAGAACCAATTCGTCCGAAAATGTCGTTGAAGAACAAGAGATTGACATGAATCTTGTTCAAGGTACCCTTTTTATTTTAAAAATTTGTGATCACGTGAATTATACACTAGTGTTTGTCAATAAACTTTGTTAACATTATTTAGTCGGAGATATTCTTAAGGTTAATGCTGGGGCGAGAATCCCTTGCGATGGTAAGGTTTTTAAAAGTTTGTCATCATCCTTCCCTCTGTTTTTATGCAAAATCTCAAATAACGAATAAAAAAATAATCATTACAGGAAGGATCACAAAAGGAACAACTTCGATCGATGAGTCCATGATCACCGGGGAATCGATCCCCGTCATCAAATCGGTAAACGATGATGTTATATGCGCCACTGTAAATCAGTCTTCCACTATCTTGATCGAGGCCATACGCGTCGGATCCGATACCACTCTCTCTCGTATAATCACACTCGTTCAAGAAGCTCAATCTAGCAAGAAGGCACCTATCGAGGAACTGGCCGACAAGATTTCTCGAGTATTCGTGCCACTAGTGATCTCCATGTCAATAATAGTTTTTGCCTGTTGGGCCGTAGCTGGCGCAGTCGGCTCATACCCGGAAGACTGGGTACCTTACAATGAAAGTCATCTGACATTTGCCTTGTTCTTTTCAATTGCCGTGATGGTGATTGCGTGTCCTTGCGCTCTTGGATTGGCTTCCCCGACGGCCATAATGGTTGGCACGGGTGTGGCAGCAAAATTCGGAATATTGGTTAAAGGCGGTGGGGAAGCCCTACAGAGGGCAAGTAAAATTAATATCATTGCTTTTGACAAGACCGGAACGCTCACGTATGGAAAACCAAAAGTTGTTAAAACCATGATATTCGTAAAAGACGCAGAAGAAAATGGAGGAGAAAAAAGAACCGTGAAAAATTTGCTACTACAAATCGTTGGTGTTGTGGAGTCGTCAAGCGATCACCCATTAGCTAAGGCTGTTTCGAATCATGTGGTATCAAAATTGAGTGGAGAAAAAGAGAATAACAAGACAGAAAACATGCAGCAAAATTTGGCGAAGCACCTTGAGAATGTTAGTTTGGTAGATGTCGCCGAAATCCCTGGAAAAGGTCTCAAAGCAGTGGTCAACGTAAGGTCAACATTTTGCAGAAACATAATCGTAAATGAAGTTCTTGATGATAAATCACAAAATGAAAGCGTTAATTATAACGTCTACGTTGGAAATGAGGATTGGATTAAAGAAGAAAATTGTGTATACCCATCACCTCGATCCCAAGAATTTGAAGATACAATAGTATCTTGGAGAAAATTGGGATGCTCTATAGTTATGGTCGGATTATCCGTTGCTGATGACGAGGCCAATAGAGAATCCAACAATTCACGCGTAATAGCAGCAATTTTCGGTGTGACCGACACCCCAAGACCAGATGCCAAGAAAACTGTATCGGCACTCACATCAATGGGAATCCACGTTTGGATGATCACGGGCGATCATTCAGTCGCTGCGAAAGTCATTGCCTCTAAGGTAGGAATTAAACATGTATTGGCTCAAGTGACTCCAGAGAAGAAAGCCCAAAAGATAAAATGGTTGCAGAAGAAAGGTCACCTCGCAGCTTCGCCTAAAAGTTCGAAAAACGACCCCAACATGAAAGCAAAAATATACACAAATGCTTCGAACGTATCCACAAAACGTCCAGTAGTGGCGATGATTGGAGATGGCATAAATGATTCTCCGGCGCTTGCCCAAGCCGACCTTGGAATCTCTATATCAAATGCCAGTGACATAGCTATCGAATCCTCATCTGTAATTTTAACTCGATCCACCTTGTCTTCTCTAGTAACTATGATTGTGCTAAGCAGAGCGATCATAAAAAGAATTCAACTAAATTTCATTTGGGCATTTCTTTACAATGCCTGCTCCATACCCATAGCTGCGGGAATTCTGTTCCCAGTATTCAAGATAGGATTGCCACCGGCTTTGGCAGGATTACTGATGGTGGGAAGTAGCTTGAGCGTTTTAATGAGTAGTCTTTTGTTGAGGAGGTTTAAGGAACCCACTCTTTAGCAGAATAAATTTTGATTAAACGCTTTAGATTTAGAAACTCTTGGCTCTACACTCATTCTAATTGTGCAAGGATAATGATGTTCTTAATGAAGGCTCTTTTCGAAAGTCATAATAAAGGTTGCGTTTAATACGTTGCAAGAAAACAGACATTAGTTTAAAACGTGACATGTAATTAAATTTAAAATTTTATTTTATTTCAATTTATGACAATAGACAACAATACGTGTAGGCGAATTATCATAACAATATTTTAGAAACATCTATCTTCTTATTTTTTTAACTTTTAACTTTTTTTTGTATACATTTTAAACTGAAATTATTTGATGATCAAATTAAGTTGAACCATTACAATAAAAATTATATAAACCTACTTAATTCAACCTATTTATCCACAATACTAAGTCTTTATATATAAATAAAATCAAGATTTATTTGCTTAATGGAGTTATATCTTTACAGATTATATGTTATAAATCTAAATTGTGTTTTTAGTTTAATATTAACTATTGTTTATTATATTTTATAAACATATATATCATGTTTTTATTTATTTACATTGTTAACATAGGTTTTTCAGATTTAACTTTTTTTTATAATTTGATTTCTTGAAATTTGACTTTTTCTTTGAATTCTGAAGTTGAAATTTTTAAATTAAAATATAATTCATAATCTTTTAATAAAATTGAATGGTTTGATTGATATTTTTCTTGATTAAAATTTTTTAAATCTTTTTTGTTTTTAAATTTAAGTAACTATATTTTTATTATAACAAGTAATCAATAATCTATTACTAATGTTATCAAAATTTTATATAACTATTGTTAATAATTAAAGATAATAAATAAATAATAAAGGTATTTATTATTTAATTAAATTTTGTTTTATTTTTTTTAATCATATAAATAAATTAAATATATGTATAAAAATAAAAAATATAATAAATAAATCAAATATTATATAAAAATTTTATTATACTAGTCAAATTATAGTAGATTATTTAATTGTTAAATTATAGTTAATTAAATTCAAATTTATTAATAAAAATTTATTGAAGTTTTATTGTTTTATTTAATTTGTTACTTGATATTTAAAAAATATACTGTATAATGATTTGATAATATAAAAAAAATATTTATTAATAAAAATTTAAAAATTTAATAATAAAAATATTTGCAATAGAAAAAAAAAAAACTCTTTCCTGTACATAACATTTTTCTTAAAAATTTCCTTTTATAGAAATTTTTTCAAAATTAAAGAAATTGTTTTTTTATCGCCTTTAACTACTCAAAAGTCCTTCACACTTCTATTGCCTTCACTACAGGAACCTCAAGGAACCTAGGAAAGTACACTGGTGTATCGGGATGGGATCTCTGGCCAGGGAAAAGCAAGCTTGAGGACCTTGCTACTTTCTTGGATTGCATGAGGGAAGGCCCGTGGCAGTTACTTTTCTATAAATTTTTCTTGGGGTTCCTCTTATTTATATTTCTTATCAAAAAACAATTCTTATTAAATAACCTTTTTCTGTTTTTGGAGAGCTATTCTTTTTTTCAAAAAACCAAATCTTACACCGATATTATTTATATTGTTGGTTTGGGGCACCAGCAGTATATACAATACTCACTCTTCACTATTGCTCAGCACAACATGCTGTGCCACAAAAATTCAAAAATTTTCACTCAAAAAATTCCTCACCAAAAAACTGTGATCAGTTTACTCCTGTCAACAGATCATCATCTCAAAACCAACCAATCAAATACTACCAAATATCAAAACAAACTCATACAACCAAAATACCTCATAATGATCAACATAAACAAAACCAGTTTTGGTAACTACAACCAAAACAAAATCATAAAACCAACTCATGGACCAATCAACTTACCAATCACTTACCATATCAACACAATAACAATAACAACTATAACAATAAGCCAAATTTTATATATTCCATTATCTATGTTAACGAAGATTATATTTACAAGTCGCAAAGAACTGGAGAGACAAAACAACAAGCCTGACCAGAGGTTCTCTTGGAAATACAATTTTTTTTCTTAATAGATTTTATAGTTTATGTGATTTCGTTTTAGTTTTAGTTACTTTTATTTTTTTTCCTCTCAAATTTTTTTTCCTA